TATGTATATATATATAAAACACCTCTGAGATTGTAAAACGTCATACATTTTATCTCATCGGTCGATCTAACAAGATTTGCAAATGCCATTTTCGCCCTCAACTATTCCAGATTACAAAAAACACCAACTTGTCATGTGGGCATTTGTAACACTTATAAGTTGAGAGCTGTGAAATTTCCCAATGAAATTCAAGTTAGTTGTAATCGGTTTTGCTATGGAGCCAACGGTTGGCTCCATAATGGAGCTAACCTTCTATATACAACAAGTAAACCTACCATGTTCTATGATTACTTATATAACATTAATATAATTTTATTAGTATGGTAGGTTTATTTGTTGTATATAGAAGGTTGGCTCCACTATAGAGCCAACTGGGTTCATATCAAAACCGTAGTTATTATTTAGAAACCTTTAGGAATGAAATTGTACAAATATCTTGAAATGCCGGAAATTTCTATTCGTGCCACTAACCAAAGGTGCAAATTATAAGACAGATGAAACCAAAAGTGGGGATATGTTGTTTTTAGCGTTCCGAGTTTTTTGCTCATTAGGTCACACCTCAAGATAGTTAATTCTCCCTACTATTTGATAATTTATACTATCTCCTATTTTTTTAAATGTCATTTTGGTTTTATCAACCAGCAAAAAAATAAATGTCGTTTTTTATATTTTGTCCATTACATCCTCATTTAGCTAATAAATACATTACGCTTTATCACATTCACTCTTTATCTTTTTCAAAACATTCATCTATATCTTCATTATCTTCATTAAAAAGGTTATAATTGGCAAAAAAAAATATTCTTAATTACTGTACAACTTCTTAAAATGACACATTATGAATTAGAGTGGCTTAGCTAAAAACATCTGCCTGAATAAGAATAGGAGGGAGTAGCAAATATGATCAATAAGGTAAATTTGGTGATGACTCTATAAAAGTTAAATACAACCAATTCAAGATATTAATATTAGTAGTACTAGAGTATCATCAATAAATGTGCAGTTTAATTTCATAATTGAAATTAAATGTGGCATATGCATAAGGAAAACCAAAAAGATCTCACCTGATACAGACTGCCCATAGTTAGAGTACTCCATAAATTGGACATTGTTCGAATCAAGAAGTCTCTTGAAGTCACTGTAGTCTATGGAATGAGAAACCTCAGGATCCCACTCAGTTCCTTTCAGTTTTCCCCTCATGGTCAAAAGTGCCCTGCTCCACTCAGAGGCCATCATGAGCTGCCTCTCCAACTGAACGTTTGCTCTTCTTTCAAATTCTTCTAATTTGTTAATACGTTCTCTCTCAGCTTCTTTCAAATTCTGCAAGCCTCCATGATTGTTTGTCAGCACACAATTTTATTCCTCAGAAAACTAAATGCACTTGTAAACACAAACCATAAACCATGGTGAAAATGTTTGCTCAAGTTAGCCTATAGAATTTGAAACCATAATTTTCACCAACAAAACTGTATTTGATCAATAATTCAGAACTAAAAAATACATAATTAATGAATAAACTATGAATTGTACAAAGATTCAGGATAAGATAACTTTGAAACCAATGAAAACAGTCAGCCAAAAAAAGAAGCAAAAAACCGTTTGTTCACAAATTACAATCAAACATAAGCATGAGCAATGGAACAGTCCCCCAGCCCCTCCCACATAGAGTTCTCAAATAAAGCAAAATGTACTATATTTTACCCATCTCCCAGGTTTGGACTTCACAGTAGCTCTTAAGCCTCTCGTTTTCTAAGATAAAAAACAAGAACTACGCTGCTATTGCAATCTCAACCTTGTTCCATAATGACAACAAAAGACCTTATGAGTCACCGAATTATCCAAGATAAATAAATAAAAATTAAATTAAAAAATGCGGGAAGCCGGGAACCCACCTCGAATAGCAGCTCAGCAGAATTAGTTTCTCCGTCCACAGGTTGGGAATTCGAATGCTGTGCATCTTGACAACAATTAATTCTAAGCCTTCGAGCACAAATGCGGGGTCTTGCATATCTGCGTGATTCAGACAGCAATCTAGTAGCACAAAATTGTCTAGGAAGCCAGAATTTAGGCTGTCTTTCATTTCGAGCCAGTAGGGTTTTAGAAGAACGGAAAACGCACAAGGGTTTTGGCGATAAAATATCCACAGCTAAGTTCGCAGTACTATGCAAACTCATCACTTGTCGTTCTACTTCTTCTTCTTCTTCTTTTCAGTATTGTCAGAATTAATCGTGCATTTGCATTATCCTTCAGCACTTGTCCTCAAAAATCATCTTCCATTAATTAACTTTATTTCGGATTTAAAGAGATGTATTTTGATTATGATTTTTAAGGACTTTTTAAGACTTTAAAAATTTTAGTTTATTCAATTTAAATATATTAAAATTTTTTAAGACTTATAAAAATTTTGAGATATTCAACCGGTTTTAAAAATTTTTAAAAAATTCTTACAAAATCATGAGATATTTAATTTATTTGACACTAAAATTTATTAAGACTTTTTAAAATTTAGGGGGATTTCTAAAAAATCTCACTCGAAATCTTATCTCCAGACTTAAGAATTTCATAGAATTCTTCATCAATCATCTGAAAATCTTAAAAAGTCTTAAAATGTCACTTAAATTCTCAATTGAATACACATTTTTTAGTCTTTTAACTTGTTTAAACCTCAGCTGCTCTCACATTAAGTGTATGGGTGCTGTTGATGGACGGATTCGATCAACGGTTAAAATAAAGTTTAGTAAAAATAAACGACTGAAAATAGGGAGAAAATATGGATTAATTATGTTTTATTACGTAATTATGAGGTCGGCCTCTCGTACGAGGTCGACACTTTCGTGACAGTTTGAATTATTACATGGATTTATTACAGTTTTCTAGAGAGAGAAATTAGAGAGAAGGCAGAGTAGTTGAAGATTCAACAACCCAAAATAAATGACAGGGGTTCCTATTTATAATGTTCTTAAATGTGCCACTGTTCAGGTACTGTTCACCGGTCTTGTCGTACAGTATATGTGCAGAGCAGTCCGGCGCCTCCCTGACAGTTATTAAATGACATTTGAGGTTTTTTCAATCATTACCTGTCAAACATTTAATGCTCACATGGTGGGCATTTAATGCTCGACAGGCTTTTGTCGGGTTAGATTCCAATAGGGTGGCAGGCTACGACGGCAAGTCCCATCGCCAATGATGATCTTCTTAGTATGAGTATTTTAATATTATCGACCTCCGTGCTCATCTCTAGGGTGCCTACTCTGGGTCTCCAGGTCGGCTCCCGAACCAAATGCATTCCTTGAGCCTTCAGGACCCCCTTTTCAGCCCGGCGTCTAGCGAGGCCGGCACCTTGGGTTTTCGGGGCTGAGCGCTGATCTCAAAAACTTTTCCTGTGATGGCCATGATCACTCAAATTCGGAATTCAGCTCGGCACTCGGGGTGTCGGATCAGTTTCCCGGCCCAATTTTTAAGGTCGTCTTCGTCCGGTTCCCTTCTGGCTAACTTGGATCCTGATGGGTTTCTTCTCAGATCTGGGACGGTCTGATTGGAAAACGTCCGGATCGGGGACGAACCGGTACGGATGAGCTTAGATCTGATGTGATGGCGATCGAACCGTTGTTGTGAGCCGCAAGAACACCTGCAAGAACTCAACGCCGGAGGGGTTTCCGGCGTAGAGCCTCCGACGCTCAAGTCAGTATCTGAGAGAGGTAATGATAGCTGCTATCAGAGCAGCAGCAGTAATGAAAAGGATATGGAATGAATGGGAGTTAGGGTTTTGGGATTACCTCAGTCCTTTATATAGGAGTACAATATATACCTGAAGTCCCCAAAATGCCCCGGCCGACTTAATGGAAATGTCCAGAATACCCCGGTCGGTTCATATTCTGCCTACTTCCTAGTCAGCATCTAGATCCTTCCTGAGCTTCCTTCTTATCCTTAATTCTTCTGCAATATGCTGGGGTGTGTCAAAGCTATCGGGCACCACGAGCTACAACTCCCTCAGTCAACCTGAGACATTACGTCGAGTCGACTGGGTCGCACTCAACTGTTAGTAGACCCTAATACGTCTGACCGTTATCTTACCAGAAGTCGACTTATTCTAGTCGACAGGTGCACATTGACTCAGTCGAGAACCGGGCTTCTTGACTGAGTGTCATGGAACCTTACTAATAGAGTCGACTTTGCTGCAGTCGACTTGGTAGTCTCAGACCGTGACGATATGAACCGCTATGAGCCAATCGCGGCAATGCCGCGGTTACTGAACCGCTGCACGACAGTATGGCTATATCATCTAGTCCCCCCCAAAATTACTCGAAGCGATTCTGAGCTTACGAGTAGATTTTGTCGACTGGATTTTTTCCTCGAGTCTTTTCATATGCCTCGTCATCAGTTGTCATCTCGGGTTACATCCCCTCATTACCTCAACTTGTAGTACGACTCGTTTTTCGCGAATTCTGACTTGATTAGATAAGTCTGAATCTTTTCAAATTTCAAAATTCAAAAGATTAACATTTTCTCTCTCCGCCGCTTCGTATTCTGTGCCTCATCTTATCCGTTGAAAATGACTTTAATCCGAGGGCTGGGGTTTCTTCGCCCTTCCTATAAGTAATCCCTTCTTTTTCTCCTCATCACTTTTTGCACTCGCCTCATTCAAGATATCTGTCTATCTCCGGCAATCACAGCTTTCTCAAGTTTCCCGGCGTTCTAATTTTCCGGCGTTCTTCTCCGATTCTTCAAGACTTCTCGTCAAGCATCATGAGCATGGGTAAGTTTTCTTTGCCTGACTTTCTTTTTTTTTTTCTTCTTTTCTTTTATATGTTCAAGATAGGAGACCTTTTCGTTTTTCTGGGTAATTTGTCTGGAGATAAGAACATCTTCATTTTCTGGGGATTGCGTGTGAATTTTCTGGCGACTTTTCCGTTTAGATCTTTGATTGTAGGTTTTGTATTTCCCCCAAGTGTTTTTCTCTGTTAGTCGTTTCGTTGTGGGAGATCGGTTATTTTTTTTTGTCTCGATCTTCCCTTGTCGAGTCGAATCGTCGTGGGGAAGATTTTCCCCGTTTCTTCTCTTCTTTCCCATTGTCGGGACACTGTTTATGTCATCCTGGTTATTTTGTTGAACCTTTTCTTTAAATCGAATCGCGACTTCTGACCACCTTTCTTGATTGTCATCATTTATTCCTCTTAGATTTCGACCTCGACCCTGTTTCTGATCCCATCTCCGGTTCTC